ATTAGGAAAATCTATGCATCTAAATTTAGGCAGCTTTGCCGCAGATAAAAATAAATAAAGTCAGTTTTGATTTCAAACTGAAGAGTTAATTAGGATTGAGTTAAGGCTATAATTATTCTTGGAGTCAACGGATTGCGATCCGCTAGACTCGTACTTGTTCTGAGTATAGAACGAGAGGATGGTGACCTAACTTACGCTTTTCCAAAGCGCAAAGCTACGGCAGCCCCGCTGCAGAAATACAGAAAAGTACGGCTGGTAATATGCTGCCATTCTTGAAGATCTATTGAATCGTCTTGTAATATCTGTAAATTTGAATTGCTTGCCCCGCTTTCATATGAAAAATAACCAGTTCACTAAGCACAGTGATCAGCAGTCTTCTCTTTATTTATCAAGTATTAGAACATTTTGGTTAACTGCTTTAAATTTCTACATTTCGTCAAGATCAATCTAAATATTGTTACTTAGAGTTTTTTTTCTGCTGCATACTCCCAAAATAAAACATTTTATTGTATGCGCACTACCTTTATTGTATTCAGTATAAAACAAGAAATGATTGTTTCTTATCATCTGCTTGAAAATAGTAAGTGTAATTGCTTTGTCCGTACTGAACAATTACAATTGGAGCTTTCTGTTTACTCAAGCGCATACATATTCAGAGAAGAGTAGAGCTCTCATACTCATAACCCTCCATCGGCAAAAACATCTATGAATAGTTTATTTTACGCTGAAGCTAATAATAAAACAACAAAAATCTTATTTCTTAAAAATATATTCGAAGTTTGATGTATTGGTGTATATTTCATGTACCGCATCCTAAATAACTGCGCGGTCATAGCTAGACCGCGGTCCTAAACCGTTCGATGATAAGCGAAATTTATGTGTGGTGGCTTCGCGTGGAGAGCTTCCATTTGACCATTAAACAGCCTGATTCAGCAGCATTGTACTTGAGTCTCGCCCGGCAGCCATGGTAAGTTTATCAAGTGCTCCAGTTGCATAGAACGCATATACACATGAGTAGAATATAGGGTAGAGTAAAGATACCCAATGAAGGGCAGTGTTCATCAGCCGATTTGATACAATCTTTCGCGTATATGAATGCCCGCAATGCGAAGCAAGGGTCTCACCTCCCTTGCATTTCCTATTGCCTCATGTGTGCATCTGGTCAGAAATATATGCATGATTTCGCACGGGTGATTAACGAATTTGATATTTGCGTGAACAGGCGAGCAAGTACCAAAACATGTACGCCGCCCTCGATTCGGATGACGAGGACACTCCTCGCGTAAGCAAGAAAGTCACGCCTCCTCCTTCTGCTCCTGTAGCGTTAAACAACCCTGCTGCCGGCAACAAGAAGGCCGCTAACAAGAAGGCTCCTGTTGGCGACAAAAAGGAGACCCGTGGTCCTCGTGAGGGTGGCCGTGGAACGCGTGAACGTGGGGAGCGAAGTGAGGGTGGTCGAGGCCCACGTGAACGTGGAGAGCGCAGTGAGGGTGGTCGAGGTCCTCGTGAACGTGGGGAGCGTAGTGAGCGTGGCCGTGGAAACCGCGGACCCCGTCGTGACTTTGAACGTCGTAGCGGCACGGGCCGTGGAAAAGAGACCAGCAGACAGGGAGGCGGAGCTCACAACTGGGGCAACAAGGCCGACCCAACCGAGCAGTTGGCTGAGGCTGATCTGCAAGAAGGTGCTAAACTTGTTTCGGATGAAGAAAGTCCCGAGGAGCTTCCAGTTGAGGAGCAGGAAGAGGAGGAAGTTCAGCTCACCCTTGATGAGTATCTTGAGAAGAAAAAGTCATCTCGATCAGGTGAACTTTTTGCTGAGGTAGAAGTGCGTCAAGTTTCCAACGAGTTCTCCAGCGCAGTGCAAATAACTAAAGAGGGCAAGACGCCCGATTTCATGGACTCGCAGTACGAAAAGGTGTACAGCAAGAAGACATCAGGGCGTAAGAAACAGGTCATTACTGACGTCGGTTTCCGCACGGAAAAGCCAGAGCGCTTTACTCGCGAATTTGACTCCTCCCGTGGTGGGCGTGGTGGTCGTGGTGCACGTGGCAATGGTCGCAGCGGTGGCCGCGGCGGTCGCAGTGCCAATGTTCCAAATGTGACGGACATGAGCGCATTCCCCAGCCTTGGCTAATGGAACGTTGTTTGACCAACCGGAATCGCGCGCCTTTGAGCGCCAGCGACATGAGTGAGATCTTCCAATTGAGGGCTTCTCGAGGACTGGTTTGGCTTTCTCTTTTTCTCCTTTTCCTCCCGCGAAAGATCCACCAGATAGGGCCTCTGCGCGGCTGGTGTCTGTCTGACTGTATGTACCTCGTCTTGCAGGCCGGCAGTTGTCGTGTGGAAAGTTAGAGAACTTTGTTAGCGTGAAGTCAGGCTTCTCCTTGGAATGTCTACTATTCAATGTAGCAGGTCAGGCTTTATGCGAACACATTATTGTTTTCATCATTGTGTGCTTCAATGCAAGCTTGTTAAAAATCTACAAACGCGGACTCGCAGGCCGCGTCATCTAAAATGCACTATCTTAGTACACGACGTAAGCGCTACTATCATGCGTGCTTCTAAACTTTGCAGGCCAAGGCACACTAAGATGGTACAGCGGGACGCCCGATGTAAAAGGATTCCCCACTGGATACAAGTTCTCCTTTCTCAAAAAAACCAACCTCAAACGGGGGTCTTGCAGCAGCGACGGACTCGCCTCCTTCCTCATCTTCAATCCGATCCCGGCAAAACATACCCCGACCGGAAGGCAAACCGTTTACCCACATGCCAAAAAACTGCCTCCCGTCAGGCGAGGACCACGATCCGTAGCCTTGAATCTCACCTCTGCACCACTCACCATCGTACACCTCTCCAGAGGCAAAATTCATTGTACCGACTCCATGTCGCTCACCACTTCGGAATTCTCCAGTGTAGACACTTCCACACTGAAAACGCTGCACTCCCTGGCAATTCAATGCGCCACTAACCCAAGTACCATGCAGCGAGCTTCCAGCTGACGTGAAGACGCCTTTACCATGCATAATGCCCTGATGCCACGTGCCTTCATGCGAGTCTCCACATGTCCACTTAAATCTGCCAAATCCTTCGCGCTCACCTCTAACAAAATAGCCCTCGTATTTGTCCCCAGAGCTAAACACCTCGATTCCCCACCCGCTCAACTGATTGTACTTCCAACTGCCGTCGATTATTTCGCCGGAAGAGAAATATTTCCTACCATTACCATGTATCACTCCCTTCCTCCATTCACCTGGACGAAAGCCACCGGCACCATACATTAGCTGCCTGAAAAGATGAGAGCACAGCTAGAGTCCTCCCACCATCGTATCTATCACCATTTGACCAAAAGAAGGTGCCGCTGCCATGCATCTGGATGAAAATCAAAATAGCCACCTCAGTAACAAGCATCCAATGCTGTTATACACAATACTACACCAACCTTCCCGACTCGCCAATTGCCTACGTATTTGTCACCATTGGCCCATAGGTACGTCCCCATTCCATGGCGGTGGTTCTTGCGATACATGCCTTCATGTATGCCACTAGAATTAGCAAAGATCTGCATGCCATATCTTTGAAATAGTAACAAGCAACTCATTTTGTTAGACCCCATATCCAAATCAAGTTAAGCGCATGGTCCGCACCCTTCGAAGTCTCCGTGCACCCATTCACCCTCAAATCTATGTCCAGATTTTAGTGTGTGCACACCCTTTCCATGTCGCCTTTCGTCTCTATCCACGCTTCCTTCATAGTGACTGCCGTCTGCGTACTGAATATAGACGATTCCTTGCGTCTTCTTCCGACGACATGATACAATTGCTGAAAAGTAGAAAGTATCTGGACTTTGCAACTCGTCCAATTTTACCTGCACGTTTGAGTCTGTCTGGATGCATTCGAAGCCTTTTCGGTGGCTCCAGCAGTCGGCGCGTACGCTTCGACACCGCCTGCGGTTACCCATAAATTGGTGCTTATGCAGACAAAATATACAGTAGAGCTTTTGGTGGCTATGTACAGACAGACACCTTGATCACGCATGTCAGTATTCTTTTGAATTCATTGAGGAAAACAGTTTACTCGAAAATCAATTGCCATAAAAAAGACCGCCAGGAGTGTGAACAAAAACTTCTGTACAGATATAAGTGTAGAGTAAAACTCCTGTCCGAGTTTTATTTTGAGTGAAACAAACACATGTTGGAGGCCGTTAAAAAATTCTTTGGTTTATTTAACACCAACACGTACGAAGGAATCTAAACATGTAGACAAACTCGAGTTTGTGATTGTTGGTAGCTGACTTGAAAAAGCGAACACAAATTATTTCCGAAGGTCTCTGTGGCAACGACTCTTACTAAGGAAGCTGAATGAGGGTTTGTTAACATGCCTCAAAAGAAAGGTGTTCTTGTAAGCGAACCATGCTGGATTTATAGGCCACTAAAGCTGCACCACAGAATTAAGTGTCAAACTTTAGGGTATCATGGCGCCAGGTACAGTGTTTTCTTCAGTGCTACAAGCTTAGCTCGAGCCCGCCAAGAACAGGCAACACAGGAACAGCCAAATGATAGTCGCTTTAAATTATTGTAGTAAAGCATACAAAAAGTTAAATGCCGATCAATAGGTACGTTATCATGCTATCTTTTTTGCTGTCGAGAGTTTTTTTAAGGGCTACCAACCCATACTGCAGCGAGGCTGCCGTAGCTTAGCGCTTGAAGAAGCGAAATTTTGGTCGCCGACCTTTCGTTCTTTACAAGAACCAATACGAGTGTATGAACTCTTCGATTCAAATTCAAAACTAATTTTATTTATTTTTATCGGCGGCAAAGCCAACTATTTTAGATGTTGAGATTTTTTGAATTTCTAAAGTAAAATATAAATTCATGCATAACTACTGGCTACCAGCCACATACCGTATTGTTGTTTGGGTGCAGTCACAGCATACCTATCTCGTGTGACACACACCGCTGTTACCAGGATACGTGTAACACCGTTACACTCTCCCCCATTAAGATTGAGAACATTTACAGTTTCAATCGATTATTGCCTTAACGAGTCTCGCGTGTCCCCTAGACACTGCAGCTTAAATCATTGGAATAAAACGACTTCCGTGCTCAATGAGCTCTGTGCCAACGACACTGAAGCCACCAAGTCTCGCTGGTTCTGACAGCTAACACGGGCAGAGCCCAACTTCGTTTCTGCACGCGGTGCAATGTCGCACAGTGCGTCCGCGGCGCCGGAGGATGTACATTATAGGCTCGATGAGCACCAGCGTCGCGCTTTGCGCACGCCATCAATGGCGAGTGGCCTCCTTGAGGATGTGGAGGTGGTCGACTACGAGTCTGACACTTCTTCTCCCGGATGGGATGACGAGGAAGGCGAGCTGCGCCAGCGACGTGATACGAGCCCTGCTTGCGCCTTGCGGACCCCATGTCTGTTTCCCGACTCCTCGTCAAGCGAGGGACGTGGTGTAATCACCAATGACCTCGACGGGGCTCAGAGGCGGCAGCTGGAATTTGCCCATAAGGCGACTCTGAAGCGCTCCCATCCACGGCCGGTCATTGACCCTTTGGCTTCCGCCCAGCGGATCCCGCTGTGGAAGTGAGGACGCGGTAACTCAACTCGATCAGTACGCATCCACATCATCGGGGCCCCGGCCATTACGAAAGATGAACTTGCGAAACAGAAATCTCTTCGAGCTCGTTTCTTGGTCCCACAAGAATTTCCGCTGGAAGCTTATCGCATTCGTCTGAGTGCTCAACGAGGTAGCTCTCATGTACCTGCAATGCGGACAATACCTGTAGTGCTCGCCCCTGGCGAAAGCGCTGCAGATGACGAAACGCTTTTTGAGCGATGGGTGCAACGGCACTTTTCCTCACTGTATTACCTACAGTTGAGCAACAAGGAAGTGGACGTACCTGTGGAGCGACACCTCCGATTTGAGTTTGTCAAACTCAAGGCACGCCGTCGACTTCCTTCGGATTGTTGCCCTGCGACGTATGGGTTAACCCCTAGCGCTCTCGCAAGCTTTGTGTCTGCGACCGCAACCAGCTCATGGCCCTTCTATTCCCTGGCTATTGCCGGGAAGCGCGGGGCGTCTGATGACGCGGGACGTCCTGCTCTTTTCGATCAAAAGCGTTCACGGCGACTGGGCAATCTTGACGAAGTGGCGCCTCAAACTCGTTGGAAATTTCGGAGTCCTTCGCCACTTCACCAGATATGGGGTTTGACCCTGGTGACGACGTCGTCTCACTAGACGTTCCACGTGATAGTGGACGTC